AGCTCTCGTCCTCGAACGGCAGCAGCGTCCACGTCAGCACCGGCAGCGCGACAGCCGCAACGGCCATGAGCGCCGGGCTCACAAGGTCGTCGCTCGCTTTCGCCATGGTCACGCCAAATGACAATATCTGGATTTCTGTCCAGTCCACTCTGAAACACAGCAAAGATGCTTACAGTGTACTACCGGCAGGCTGCTTCCAGCATCATTACGCTGCAGCGTTACCACCGATTTCCTGTGGCGGCACGAGCGCAGCCCTACGACTCTGTCATGAGTGCCATGGCTGGACCCAGAAGTCAAGTACGACTAGCAGGAACTACGTACGTGGATGAAAAGGTATATAAGTTTTATAGCTAAGAATCGGCAGTGCCACGCTTTCGCTTCGCGCCGAGCAGCTTGGGCGGCGCAATAACGGGCGCCTTGCTGATGCGACTGCTCTGGCGGACGTGGCGCAGCTGCGTGCAGGACCACGGCAGCTTCTCGAGCGTGAAGCGCTGCGTCGCTGGATCAAAGATCAGGATGCATTCGACGTCCTTGCTCTCGGCTACTTTGCCCTTGAACTGGACGCCACCGCTGGCATTGGCGACCGCGACGGTGACGCTGTTGGCGGCGTCGGCGCTGACGAGGCCGCAGACGCTCGTGTCGACGGAGGCCGGCTGGAACTCGTAGCGAAAGCAGTACTGCAGGCTCGGTCGCGCGTCCTCTGCGGGCTCGGCCAGCGACGGTCCAATGTCGACGCCATAGACCTGCCCGGGCGCTGGCTCGTCCGTTGCCATCGTGATGATTTTGCGGTGCCACCAACCAGGTTGGCGCGGATTGGCTACAAAAGAGTTTTTATCGACAATCATTGGCTACAAAAATGTCGATTTTAGCCAATCCATGCGCGGAAAAGCTACAGAATGGAGTGCTTCAGCTAGTCAAGAATGACGATGCGGCCTTCCGTGGCGGCGTAGGCCAGAATTCGCTGCTTCTCGACGAAGCGAATCACCTCGTTGGCCATGATATCGTGCGTCTCAACCACCAAGCCCTTGCGCCACGCGACGCAGCCGTCGCCACCGCCAGCAATAAACTGCGTTGTTGCCACGGTCAATTCTGCGTTCAAATCGATTTCGTTACCGGCTTCGTCCGTAAATGACGTCATCTAGCCCGCATGTCAATATTAACCATAAGAACTATAAGAAGACCATTCGTACCGTTCGGGTGCTGCTGTCGTACACGAGTCGCACGCCAGAGACGTGGGGAAACGAGCCCGAGAGCGCTGGGTATGCGCCGAGTTGCTGAAGAAGCGCCTCTTGGAGGTCGCCGGCGCGGATCCGCGTCAGCACTGCCGGTCCCTGGATCGGCATGTCGGTGTGGATCATGCGCGCCGTCAGCGTCGTCTTGGCCGCATGCACTACGACCAATGGGAACTGCTTCTTGCTAGTAGTATACTAGTAAAACGTACGGGTGTTGCTTCGGAGAAAGCCGCCACTGACGTGACCAACGTGGGCGCCGAGCTCGGACCGGATTGCGTCAGCGACCAAGTTGCCAAAGCTGCTCTCTTGACCGCGCACGACGACGGTTTGCACGTCCAGCGGCAGCTCGAGCACCGCGATTGGTCGGTTCTCGGCGTCGTCATCACCGGAGAAGCGCGCCATGTACTTTTGCACGAGGCGCGTGATGTCGGCGTCCGGCGCCACGCCTTTGTTCAATAGCATCTTCCACTCGGGCGTCACGAGCACCTTTGGCCCGTCCTTTGCAATGTGAAAGTCGAGCCGACCGAGCCAATTCGCGTTCTGGCCCGACTTGTGGATGAACGTCTTGCCCTGGTAGAGTGTGTACGGGTCGTGGTCGTGGCCGCCAATGATGATGTCGATCCGGGGCACGCGCCGGGCCACGAGCTTGTCGTGCGCGATGCTGACGTGCGTCAAGGCGAGGATGACGTCGGCGCCCTGGGCCACGAGGCTGTCCACGCAGCGCTGTATGCATCCCAGTCATCCTCGTGCTCAGATTGGAACTCGAGTCTACCTGCGACGTCTCGATGAGGTCTTCAAAGACGACGCGGTCGCCAGGAAATGAGAGCTGCGGCGTCTCGGGCGTGCAGATGCCAAAGATGCCCAGCTTGAGTGCGCCTAGACCGTCCTGAGCTCGCCAGTGTGCTCATTCGCGAGTGTTGAGGTACCGTCTTGACCGATCGGAAGAAGAAGCGTGTCGGTCGCGTTCGCAAAGAGGCCGCCGGTCGCTCTCTCCTTGACGTTGGAGCCAAACCAGCGAAACTTGGACTCTTGGACGCGCTGCGCCAAGACGTCGGCGCCAAAGTCAAACTCGTGGTTGCCTACGCCATCGTCAAAACAACACGTCGATGGTCGCAGGCGTACCAAAGACGGCAAAGTCGATGTCCATGTGGTTGAGAAGGTCGATCATGTGCGCGCTAGTAGGTCGCCATGCATGACGCTTCGTAATGAAGATCGTTCGTGCGTAGTAGCAGTACCCTTTGTAGTAGGATCCGGCTCGCGACGCCGAGAGAAAGTCGCCGTTGATCGTGGTCAGCAGCGTCGACGACGCTGGTGTCGCCGCTCGCTCACGCTGCAGCAAGGTCGCCAGCTCGGCCATGCCTGGGCTACCTGGTGAGCGCTATCGGTGCCGCCGTCGTCGACGTACCGCCGATGCCATGCGCGTCAGGCGCAACGTCGTACACGTCGTTCACCGTCAAGATTGTCAGCGTTGCCATCCAACTTGCTAAATATGGTGTATCAAGATGGTGCATTTGGCATACATATGCCACTACAAAATCAAACCATGCCAAATCCAAGCTCAGTAATGTACCCCAATAAGTGCGCCGTACTTGATTAATACAAAATTAAGTACATGTATAATGTCCATCATGTGACGGCACTTAATAGGGACTACAAAATCGCACTTGACAGGACAAGCTCCGTGCGATGCAAATACGACTTCCTCAATCAAGACCGAACTACTTGGGGGCAACAACCGAGGCGGGTTAGTTGTTTGACTGACACTACCAAATTGGAAATGGCTTGAGCTCGCTTGCTCTGCGCCTCTTGGCTTTTGTTCGAACTTGTAACTGGTCTTCTAGGTCGCTCATCCTTGCGCGGAAAACCTCTTCCACTGCTTGGAAACGGCCCGTGCAAGTTCCATCGGCACGACAGCGTCTCGAGCGCCGGCGATCGGGTACCGTAGGAGTGCGTCCAGCGCGGTGGTCGAGAACTCCACATTGTGGAACGCAAGGCGTTAAAGGGCCATCGACGGCGGCATCATCGACGACAGGGGCGAAGACACTTGCTTGAAATCGGCCTCGTCGACGATCAGTTCTTGCAAGGCGACGAGTCGGGGCAGTGCGTGCGAGACAACGTCGAGGTTGCCTTCGCCGCCATACTCGATTGCGAGCGACGTGAGGACCGTAGGGTTTAGTAGCTCCAGGCTCCAGGTCGTCGACGTGAGCCGGGCGGTCAGCGGCCATAAGTTTGCCGAGGCTGTCACGACGCCTTTGCACCGCGTTCGCTCTCTTAGGATCGGCTGCTCGTGCGCTGCGACGATCGCGTCTGTGGACCGCTGGCTCGCTTCGGGCCACGCCGAGCACTTGGAGCTCACGTATCCCGAGAGCCACGAAGCGGAGGCACTGTTGGGTCCGATGTTCCTCAAGGCCACGGGATTTTCGAGTCTTGCAGTACACGACCATGAGCGTTGGGTCATTGCACCGCTTTTGGCTGTCGCATCCTCGTTCGATCGACTTGCGCGCTTATGTCTCTCGATTCCCGAGTCGGACGTGGCGTCGCTGCTGCAGTTCCTGCAGCACCTCAACAAGCCGCAGCTTCGCTCGTTTTCCCTCGGCTGCGTTCAAGCTGACTTCACTGAAATTGTGGAGGTACTGGCGTCGTTCCCAGAACTCGAAGAGCTGGAGCTGCCACATGGTAATCTTCGTGGCCGGCCCCCTGCGACGATGTTGCCACCAAGTCTTCGGCGCGTCACGTTTAGCGAGCTGACAGCCGACAAGGCAACGTGGGACGTGCTCGTCACGGGCTTGTCTCGTGCACACGCCCTCGACAAGCTCTCATGGTTCTGGTGCTACCTACAACCGTCCGTCGTCAAGGCCATCGCTAAGTCGTTGCCCAACTGGATCCATCGCGGTATCCGAAACATCTCGTTGGACGACTCGAGCCTTCATGACAAAGGTGCGTCAGCGATGGCGACCTGGCTGCGTCGGACAAAGAGCCAATCCGGTGTCCGCATCCATTTACATGGTGTCCACTTGTCGGTACACAAGTACGTGGCACTCGGAGACGCACTGACGACGTGCCGCGGCGTCTCGATTGAGCTGAGTTACAGTGAATGTTGCGACCTCGTCGACGGCACAACAGTGAAGTGTTTCGCACCGAGGCGACGAAGCGCCGCATCACGTACCATGTCGATCGCCGCACGAAGCTTCTCGTGCTCGAGAGTCCCGTCCCGCACCCACAAGAGTTGTAGGCCTTTTCGAGTTTGACAGTTGCTTTCTCGTATGTACTCTAAAACAGTTCGTCCGACTTTTTCTCGTTATACACAAATTGTCACGCGTAGATGCTCCTACAATTCTTCGCCCCGTCTGAGGCATCTCAGGTTTTAGGCCACACCAAGATCACGCTGCCGACACCGCGACCTCCAGTCGCTGATGCCGCGTCAGTCGTTGGCGTCAGTCAAGGACTCCACAAACAGCGTAGCCGATCGCGCCGCCTGAAAATGCTTCATGAGGTTTGTCATCATGGGCCTCAATTTGAGGCCGCAAGTTGCCGTCTTGCTGCGTTATCTGTTGCGTTAACCCTACGTTGGGCCTTCAGTTCCTTTTGATGTCCTTAGACCTGTCTTGGGAGGAACTGTCTTGACTATAGATGATGGGCCAAGACCGCCGACCGGGCAGTAGAATCCCGGGTGGGCTGCGTAACCAGGAGGTTTCTACCAGTCTAATTGTTGGGCCGTGCACGTCGACCCCACAAAGGTTCATTTCAGTTTTTGCTCGCTCCCTCCGCATACCATGAGCCTCTCGCCCTCCGAATTCGACAACACGGTGCGCCTCGTTGCCGTCGCCAACACAACTGCTACAAACGACAAAACATACAACGAGTGCAAGGCAGCCGTGACGACCGCGTTCAAAAAGCTCGTCAAGGATTGCCGCCTGCCGTTCATCGAGTACGGCGACAACAAGGTCCGCGTCCTCGTCGCCAGCATCGGCAGCGTCGTCTACATCGTGATTCCGAGCCACGCCACGGCAATGGAGTACGAAGCGCAGGCCTCCAGCCTCGGCATCGTCGGCCTGGCAACGGCCATGCTCGGCGTGCCCGAGATGGACAAGGTCATCTTGTGCGGCCACGGCCACGGTGGCGGCGTCGCCCACGTCGCCCACAAACAGCTCGAGAGCTCCAACGGCGCATTCAAGGTCGCGTCGGTCGCGTTGGGCGCGGCAACGAGCCTTCCTTCTCGCACCACGGGCTCCACGTTCTATACAGTGTGCCCGTCCGACGATACCGCAGACGCGACCGATGCGTCGTTCGACAAGCTTTCCAAACGGCCGGACGTCAAGGACTACAGCACGCAGCACTCTGAAGCGACACCGACGGTCAACACGGAAGCGTCGCAAAAGCTGCACCAACAGATGATGATGATCGCACCGCAGCATTTGGCCTCGGCCGACTTGTCCAAAACGATACTGCCGCTTCAACTCGCTCGCGCGCGGGGTTGTGGCTGCCGTCGTCACCACCCGCCACGGCGACACGAGCATTCGCACTGCCTTAAGCGATGTTCACGGCGCGCTGAAACAGTTCTTCGCGAGCGTCAAGCAGCTCGGCAAGAAGGGCAACACCAAGGCCGAGCTCGAGACGATCGCGACCAACATTGAGAAAACCGAAGCGCAATGGAAAGCGCTCATCGAGTTTCTTGACGGTACCCAGACGACAAACGAATCCAAGATGCCGTGGCAAGCGCTCAGCGACAGCGACATCAGTTTGTCTGAGCTCGTGCGGCTCACGACGATGCTGCTTGCAGTCAACATTATGCGCGACGAGTACGGCGCCTTTGAACTGGTGAAGGACATTGTCAAGCCTGTCCTGGCTATCGCTGGGGCTGGAGCGCTGGTGGCGACCGGCATCAGCGCAGTGGCTTCAGTCGCGGCACTTTTTACGAGCTTGTCGCTTGGAGCCGCACTTGGAGCTACGGCCGGCGCCACTGGCGTCTTCGTTGGCTCAGGTATCGGCCTTGTAGCCACCGAAGCGAGCGACTTTAGCCACGGGTTTGTCGCACTCGTGAGACATTGCCAGAGCGAGTCGTACAAATAAGCCTCGAGCAACTACGAGCACCAGGTTCACAAGATGGCACGCCATGCGAAGATTGAAGAGGAAAGTGTTGACGCCATCACGCTCCAGAAGAAACTCGCTGCGATCAAGGACCCCAAGCGCACGTTTCGGTCCGAACGCAGTATTGAGTTTTCAGACATCACTGAGCTCTACGCCGAGCTTGCGGCTGACTACATTGGCGTCCTTCGCAAGCTGAACGAGCTCCACTCGCTCACACAAGTTCGCTTCGTCGTGCTTAACGGCGCCCAAGGCGTCGGCAAGTCGTGGTGCATCAAGTCGATCTTGCACGAGGAGCTCGGACCCCGCGAGAGCACGAACGAGCCCATCTTCATGCGCTACAACCCGCACGACAACCCTAACAGCAAAGTCTTCTTGGTCGACATGCCCGGGGACGACTCGCTCAGCCAAGACCTGCTGAAGCAACTCGTCGAGTTCTTTGGCGTCACCAGCATCGGCATCCAGCTGTTCAAGTTCGACACGCGGCCGCCGCAGCTCGACTTCTTCAAGGTTCAAAACGCGTTCAGTGGCTCTGATCGAGTGCTCGTCTGTCTCATCCAAGTCCTTTTCGTGGGCGCCGACGGTCCACTCGCCGAATACGTGGACGCTTGGCGCTGCTACTTGAAAAACAACGGCATTGACGTCTCGAGTGCGGAGAGCAAGTACCATCTCATGGCCACGGACCTGGCTGGCTCCAACTCTGTTTTGCGCAAGCGTGACGCGTACGACTCGGACGAAGTGTTTGACGGCTATGAAGGGTACACGCGACGTTTCGCCCACAGCCAGCGACTCGGCATCAATCGTGTTCGCGCCAATGGCGGTCACTCCCGCGACGACGTCGTCGCTTGGATTGACGACGCCATTGCCGCAACGGGCCTCTGAATTCCAACTCGGAGCCTACTTGCATTCAAATAAAATGTAAATAGAGCTCCATACCTTTTCACGACACCAATATCTTCGTCGGGCGGTGCATTCCGACAGAAAGCCGATGTCATTTAGTGGCACCGCGTCGGCCTTTCTTCGTCGATACCGTTGCGTCGGGCGCGACATCGGACCAGGTATTAATACACGCTGCGTTTAGTCGTTTGTATCGACTACCGGTACCGTAATGTTTCGACTGGAGGTGGCATATGGGCACGGTATCTTTGGCATATGCCGCAAAGACCCACCGTGATGCCGAACCCTAGGAAACGGTTTCAGAGCTTCTTCTCTGCACCCGGTTGGCGCGCGCCAGTTTTGGTTTAGCCGCAGAAGAGAGACGACGAGCATGCGCCTGTGCCCACGAAGCGCTGACCACTATATGCTGCCCGGCGGCCGACGCGCTCCGTGGACGATGGACCGAACCCTC